CTTTGAACGACTTTCCCAACACTCCATGGTCCGAAGACAAGGCTTCGGACCAGCGTGTGCTAACGAGCACTTTCCCCTGGGTATATCATCGATGAAGCGTGGCTCAGGAGAGCTCATGATTCTTGTATGAACTAAGAGTCTTGTTACTAAGCCGTAGTCATCCAGGTCACCAGTGTCTCTTTCAGAGTAGAGGTTCACCCGACTGACGTCTAGGTGGGTTATGTACCGAAATTCGTTATCAGCACGATCGATTCTGCGAGTTTTACTCCCTGATCAAGTGCACTAGTGGACCCATCGTGCGTGACTCTCAAGTGAATGGTGTGCGGTGCTACTGAGTGTGTGAAAATGTCCACTCAGGGGAGTCAACCTAAAAGGGAAGATTAAACAAGCTCCCACGGCTTCAGTGAATTGGGCGATGACCAGCCCGGGCCCTCAGGAGGCAGACGCAGCGACATCTTGAAGGCTATTGAGGCCGACTGTGACGATGCCGGATCCGGCCTCATGGAGCTCTACATGAGAAGTTGTTCTCGCAAGCGAGACATCGTTGTGCTTTTAGCCTTGATGGTGTCAACTATACGGAAAGGCGAGTGGTGATTCCGCCAGCGTTGGATGCGGATCCATATGCCTCAGATGTGGTAATGGGAAACCTTTCGTCACCTTCACCAACGAAGAAGGACAAAGCGTCCAAGATCAAACAGATGAGGTGCGATGCAGGAAACCGTGCGGCTCGAAGCACTCTATTTGCCTTCGTCTCACCTTCTTCTGCTCTACAAAACCCAGATCCGTCCCTCTCTCGAGTACTGCTCGCATATGTGGGGTGAAGCCGCTCCTTCATCTCTTTCTATCCTGGACTCTATTCAAAGCAGCTGCCGGCACCTCGGCCTGAGAGGCGACGGAGGCGGCCGCGATGACAGCGCTGACCGATCGGCCTCGTCGATCTCGAGATCGATCTCCTTCTCGTCCTCGAGAAGAGCGAGCATCCCTAAGGCTCTCGGCGAGCATGGCCTAAGGAATGTGTGGCTCCAGCAGGTTGGAGCCACATGTCACACCTCGAGGCTTTCGCTCGCGCTACTGCGGGACATGTTCCCTGGCCGTTTGATCTCTTTGCGGGGAGATATTGATTGGCTCCGCATTCGCCCGATCTGAACCCATGCGATTTCTTCTTATGGGGATACGTGAAGGCAAGAGTCTACCGAGATCGGCCGCGGACTATACCTGAGCTGAAGCGAGCAATCGAAGATGAAATCGCCGCCATACCGCTCGAGATGACCCTACAAGTCATGCGGCGCTTCAGAGAACGACTCGACGCTTGCGAAGGGAGGCAAACACTTAGAATATCTTATCTTCAGAGTTTGATCAAGTCGCCTGCGGGAAGCGACGTCCGGAGGACCCCTGCGGAGCGAGCTCCCTCCTCCCTGAAGAAAGTCAATGGAAGGAGCTCACATTCTTCCTTAATAATCGATTTTCGCTTTTCCTCGAAACGGGAAATTTTCGGATGGGAATTTTCTTTGGAAAACTACGCTTATAGGCGCAACTTTTTGTGCTAACAAAAGTGGGTAATCCCGTCTGAACAATTTTTCCCTAGGGTTCGAAAATAGGGAAAATAATTTGCCGCACCCTGTATTTCGGTAAACCCCGACTCCGTACTGTGCCACGTGCCTGAGGCTCCACTCATCAGGCCTCTCTTCTGATTCCGTATTTAGTAACATCTGGAAATCTTACTCGATACCTTACGAACAGAGCCTCTCGGAGAGGGTCAACCTACTCATATATAAGACGACTCTTCCTGTAAGACAACTCCCCCGTGATTCCCGTAATACTAATGACAGATCCTCGAGCGTGGGAAACAACACAAGGAACGGTTCCTCCAACCGATCCCGACTACAGCAGATCGAATACATTCGCAAAAGCTGTCCTTTTGAACTCCATCGATCTAAAACTACTCACTTCTAAGTTCCACGGCAAAACAGCAGATGGCACCGCGAAAGATATCTACAAACTCATCGTCGACAATTTTCAGAAAACCACTGCTCAAGCGAAATCAATTGCTCTTGCGAACTTAATCTACTTCAGATACAATCCTGGGAAATCAGTACTTCACAATATAAACAAATTCCGAGAACTAAAGAACAAAGTCACAGCAACTGGCACAAGCCTTGACACTTCTATGGTCTGCTCCAGACTGATTCATTCGCTACCCCCCTCAAGGGAAAACTTCAAAACCAATTGTTCTTTCACCATCAAGCACTTCATCTCTCACATCTCTGATATCAATCGTCGAAGCTGAAGCTACTCGTAGAGAAAACGAGAAATACGATCATAACTCAGATTCCACAGCTCTATTTTCAAGAATGTCTTTGAACTCTTCTAGTAGAAACAACATTCGCCCTACCCACAATCGCGCATTCAGACACCCCATTCGCTACTCTCAAAACAGATATAAAAACCCCACCTACTCGAACTCCAGAAACCCAACTCGCTACCCGAATCAAATATCTAATAGAACAAGCTGGAATCGAAACAATAATCACTCCTCCCATTCGTCTCCCCATACTCGTCGAAACACTCAACCCCAACGTCGACCCACTCGAGCGAATGCTCATCTCACGGAGATCTCTGAAAATCCTGAAGACATGAACATCTTTTGTGCCTGGAATGACAATAACAAGACGTATGATACGGACACACGGCTCGTCGATTCAGCTGCCTCGCACCACGTCTGCAAATCCTTCAAACCCTTTGTGACGTATCATCGTACACCTCGTATTGTTCGAGTTGGCGGCACTCAGAAGTTGCTCGCTCTCCTTGAAGGAACCATCTTTCTGAGCGTAGACTCAGACCCGAATCGGATCATACTAGAATTAATGCACGTTCTATTTGTCTCGAAAATGAGAAGGAACCTGATTTCGATGGCATGCCTAATGACGGACAATTGGTCTGTCTCGCATCGAAAACCGCTTTCACTCTGAACAAAGAATTAGCTGTTCTTCCTGTGAAGAACGGTCTCTCTGCACTTC